GTAATTATGGTGTTTGTCTTCTTTCTCCAAAATCTCCACAAACCAGTAGTATCTCTTCCATGATGCGTGAATGTAGTAAAGCCCGTTTTCCAGACAACATCTTATGGGTGTATTAGTGGCAGAATCGAATAACCGACCGACCGTACAATCTGAAGTCCTAATGCCACCGCACCTTTTATAATGATCTTTATTATCTTATCACATTTGAAGGCATACCAATAAAGTGAAACATATATCGAGCTCTTAGAGTATGAGTAAATAAATACCTCCGACAAACTGGTTTCATACCATGCCGGCACTTTCGAATCCTTACCTTCCACATCCGTAAATATCCGTCTATGTATGAGAGAATGGGGTCAAAAATATTTTCATTATGATTCGTGACAGGACATATCGTTCGACATTGAATTTGCACCGAGCGCTACCCTTAAACTTTTAAACCTGAAGATACGAAATAAGGAGAAAAGTGCTCTTCCTTCTGCAAAATGTTGGCTTTTCATTCTAGCTCAACATCAAGGGATGCGTTTTACTTATCGAGCGGTGAGGGGGTAGAGTGGATGACTACAAAACTGGTTACCCTTGTACCTTAGGACATAAAACAAGCCGAGGGGAAGTAACAAAAGGTCCAAGAAGCAGGCCCCTACTATGCTTACAGAAACTATACGGAACAAAGTGTGCATGGTGTAGGTCAATTAATGGAAGAAAGTATAAACGGCACAAGTTCGTAACTTGAAATTTCAGCCCCATCCATAACCAACATAGTAAGTACATGCATTGTTGAGGTCACAGAGAAAATGGACCAGGAAATATCAGGTCAGTACTTACAGCAGGATCCCCGATGAAAAGATCAATAAACACCTGAATAAAATTACGACAAGAATTCCACAATAACTCCAATGACCAAACTTCAGCTATTTGGTCTGAAAGTAAAAACAACCCGATGAAACCAAGGTTTATTTGAACGTTGTGAAACTTAGCTAATGATGGTACACCCTGTCGTTTCTGTTAATGGTTTCATGTTTAACGAAGGACCAATGGCCCCTATCTGAGAGCATTCATTGCTTAAATTTACACGTTTTTTCCTATTTCGAAGAGGCCAGGCTGGCGGTTGCAGTAGGATTTTACTCAGATCGTGGAACAGTACTGTAGTAATAAATAACCCCCAAATAAATTATTCTGTAGGTCTTCGACGTTTATGCTAACCTCATTCGTTTTACTAGACACACCTAGTGAAGGCTCCCATTCATTCACTCGAGCTAGATCACGAGCGGGTAAGCCATGCTACTCATCATTTGTGGCTACTACCCAACTCAGACTAAACGCTTCCCGATACGTCGATAGCCTTTGAAACATATCTTCGAACCTCTTCATGTATGACTTCCAATTTGACTGGGTCGGCATACTTAGGTTGAAATTGTGTTATAGATAAGTCGTCAAACTCCGAATATCTGTGGCATCTTTGTGTATTTACATGTTCTCTGGTAGGCATAATCGCTCCCAGGCTTATTGTGTATCCGGAAAATTCTAAGCTTTTAACTCTAAAAACATAGTTACTTTGATGCACACTCGTTATTTTTTATTTAGCCGTTTAAACACTCCACTCATGCGTTATTTACGAGATTTTTAATACGGACTAGCAATTAGCAAATCGTCTATATGCCTTTATGCGTAAGGCATATCTTGAATTAGGTTGTCCATAAACCGTTGAAATATTACTGTCGTGCTCCCCAGGCCAAGTGGTATGCATACAGACTTCAACAGTTCAAAAGGTGTAGTACTAGATGACGTATGGATATCCTTCTCAGCTACCGGGATATTTTGATATACTCCAACAATGTCAATTTTGGTAAATATGTTTGTCGTCTATGAATCGTTTGTAAAATCTGGCACGGTCTGACGGTCAAAGGATCTTTAATCTACCTGAGGTAACCAATCACTTTAATTTTTCCTGAGGACCGCGTGTAGAGAGGGCTCCCATTGGCTACCTGGGGGACGAATAGCACCCAGCTGTAGCATGTAGTCACGCTAGGTTATGGAGATTTTAAGCTAACCTAGTCCCGATCTCCTGAGTTTAGCGAATACAAGTGAATCCTCAACTCCTATTTTATGTCTTATCGTTATCTTGCTTTTGAACGATTTGGGGTTGAATTCCGATAGGTTATAGAATTCCGCGAGTATACCATGGAACCTAGGAATCGCAACTACCAGAGTGTGCACCAAATTTAAGGGATTGACGTGACTTTCCTTGTCTTTTGTATAATTCGGGGTGTCAGACATCTTTTTTTTAGTGTCGACTTAACGTCCACATCTCTCCGAAAAGTTTGTTCCCAACACCGCCAGATCCACTCCGGTAAACACTAAGGGAAATGGCCTCCTAAACCACAAATCTTGCGTCACAGTTTCCTACCCAAACTCTGTGATTTTGGTTTTATTAGCCGCTTCAAGTATTACTTTAGAAGTTTTCCAACCCATTTCGGCTTCGTTCTGAGGAATGATACAAAGTGAAACAGTCATCCACTAAAATGCCTAGGCGACACTTCTGTTCTGGGTTCATCTTTTGATGACTCCTTTTGGTATACGGTTCAGTTGGGGGGTCGTCTATTCATTATTTTGCTTGCAATACCTCGTATGTAAGGCAATGAGGTGTCCGGGTCTTGAGCATCTAAACGGCTTTGGATGTGGCATGGGAGAGCGTGCAACCATCCTTGCTCTAGGACTGTTTCATCCACTGTTTCGTCACTCACTATGAATTAGAGGTGACATAAGGATTTACAGCACCGCTCTCAAAGTTAAGTTTGTTTATGTCTAATTTTGTCAAGCCCTTCAATTAACTTACTTGACAGACAGTGTTATCCGAACAGTAACAATTTGCCTATTTTTTGTACTACTATTGTTACTATCATGACCATATAAACATGTATGCTTGATCTCGTGTGACAGCCTACGCACATATCTCACTCTACCCTACGTGTTAGTTGCCCAAATATCGCTCGAAGAGTCATTAGCTTTCCCATATATGTATGTTTGAATCTTATTAATTATTCGCTTCGATTCGATCCGATTCTATTCGATTTCATTTGACTCTGAATCGACCTCCGTATTCGCTTGCTCTCGCGCATTAGACTTTCTTCTCAAATTCGCTTGATAAGCTCGCAACTTTGTTGTCCACGCTATCCATTGATAATCTATAGTCGACCCTTTGTGTTGCCTTCTGAATTCATACACCATTGAGATTTATTTAATAACAGTTATGGGCGTGATTGGGAAACAAAGCCAAGCCACTAAAAATTGTGATGGTGACCTATCGCTTGGTCCTTGTCTCTGGTAAAGTCTTTGGGTTATTTTTGAGTCTGATGACGATAGATGGTTCATTGTTTCAAGTCCTAAAATAATGTATGGTTGTGGGGATCAAAATTAAGTTGCTCACTTCTTTAGACAACTGAAGGAGGGAGGATAGACTATAAATCTCTGTAGCAAATTACTTCATATTTAATATTGTCTCATGAAATAATTCTACGGTTGAGCACAGAGCAAATCAAAGTCACTACGATCTAACTCTGGGAGTCAGTCTTTCTTATTCCAAACATCGTTTACTTCTGCTGGTGATAAATCATACTTATTGTACAGGTTTTCACTATGTATTTAGTCTGATATGTGGTCAGTGAAAATATATGAATATAACACAAACGCGGTTTAAAATGACTCTAACACGGATACTGTTCGATATATATACACATAAAAATTATATTCATGATGATTTTACTGATATATCAGATTTAGTTTTACTACCTAACAAAAAGTAAGCAAAACATTAGCTTCTTGCATTCAAAACAAGGCTCGCCAATTTAGTGCTGGAAGTTACTCTTCGTTTTTCCATTTCTAAGAAGTCAAACTGGATGCTGTAGTAGATTTTTACTCAGATCGTTGAATAGTACAATTGGGGCACGAAGTTGTGATTTCAACCGCGTAAAAAGAGTTCAAAATTCAATGTGGGATAATAGGGGATGTAATGTCTACGCATAATAAGGAAGTAAATAGATACTTGAGCTGAAATGTCTTCACATTAACAAGATTTTTTCGGGATACTTCTAACCACTCAATTTAAGCTGTCACAAATATACCAATTTTCCTTCTTCCAAATATTCAAAACAAGAATTTTTGACATGTGGATGATCATCCTTTTTCATCATTCTATAAGGGTGTAGTGTCTAGGATGTAAACGATCTGTGTCGAATTTTCGGGGGCCTACTCGAGTTAGACGGTAATAGTGTGACCAACAAGTTAACGTTGGTCACACCTCACGGTTAGTACCTACCGTGGTTCACCCTTTTGTTGTATCCAGGTACTACGGCTACTTTGATGACCGTACAATACAAACGACGTTATTACAGAAATTTATTGGTAAGAGTAGGTACAAGGAACAGACTGCGACCACTGCTGCATGGGCCAGTCCATGACATGCAATTAATTAATGTTCGTTGGTTGTCCTTGATCTTGACGAGTATCACTCAACTGTTCGAGAGTCAGTGACACAACTGCCATACGAATTGACTTGGGCACAGAGAAACTTCACTGCCTTTTTGAAGGATCCTCGAACAGCTTGCTGTCCAATTACTGGTTCAGTACTGCAAATAATTGCTCAATTTTCACTGGAAGTTTCACTTCAATCATCTAAGGCTGTCTACACATGTCTTCTATGGATGGGACACTGAAGCCCATTGCGAATTCCTAGAACAAAAAGCCAGAAGAAGTGAAATTTACAGATGAGAATGAAATCCTAAGAGAAAATTTTCTTCCCATATTCAGCATCAAATCACTAAATGAACGAGAAAACGCCTGATATTGAACATTTAGCCACAAACATTCTTCTTATCCCAATTTTTCTATTTCACAATCAAGGGTAGTATCGGACAATTCATATAGGTATCGAAAAGTATAATCATCTCAACATTCGGATTTAGACAGTTTAAAGACCAGTGAACAGGCGCGCAAGTATAATAATGGCGCTTGTAGGGCCGAAGTGCTCGGTAGTCCTTCTTCTTCTCAGTGTATGGGGGATATTGATGCTTGTAAGTCCTGAAAAGTTGGTTAAGCTAAATAGTAAACATTAAGCATATCTAGATGCGAACTCTGGACTGAACCAGCGCCCCTTAAACGTTGACGAGTTGTAAATACTTTCGTCAAGCAAATTTAGGACAATAATCTTTGATAATTAACAGTACTTGAACTGATTTGCTGGCTAAAAATTCCCGAAATAGTGTAATTTAAAGCGAGTAAAACTAGCTGAGCACGGCTGAACGTATTATGGCTGGGATTCGTAGTAAGAGTTCCATCAAGTACAAACGAATCATCAGTTTGTAAAAATACCACATGTTCTCACTAAGATTCGTAAGCTAGCCACTGTTACTTACCTTCTGGGTAAAGTACGGGTTGCTGGAAGTGCGTGGTTGTAACTTTCAAATTTGATATAATCCTAAACAATCATTATGCAGTTACGAACTTATATATTTAATGCATTTAAATTGCATCCTAGGTTTGCAGAATTTCTCGTTCTTTTTTGGACGTCATGCAACTTCCTCTGAAAAACTTGTCTGGTGAACCGACATGTAGAACTAGTTTTTGTTTGAGCCATCTCATTTCTTTTTCTATTGGGTAGTTTCTTTAAATTAAACTCAATATTTACTTCATAAGGTTTGTTTGACTATACATCATGCAATCCGGTGTCCTCCTTAGATCCCTTCACGTATAGAGACGAAGTAATTTAGTGAGTAATTGGTGTTCTAGTTCGTCTGCTTATTATTCTCCCTTCATACTTTATTAAACGCAACATTTTTATGTTACAAAATCAGCGAATTTTCGTGAAAATCAATGTATTCCAAATTAATGACACGGGCGTAAGCACCTAAATTCCAAACCATTTCTCAGAGACTGATAGGTTTTTCAGTCTTCTGAGCTCAAGCTAGTTTTCATCATTACTTGCGACTTTATCTTGTCCCTTGTTTTAAGTGGATGTTCATTCGTGATGAATTGGCCGTAATTTATAACGGTTGACACAAATTGGTTATAATCACATACCTTGATGTTCTCCATTTTAAAACCTGTTAAATAACATGGACTGAGTCAACTTTCAGTCAAATTCGTTTCTATATGAAAACAAGAAAAAGCTAGTCCTTTGATTCACGATAGTCCTACTGTCAGTCTAAAAGTTTATTGCTGTAAATGTTAGGCCTCAACGAACATTGAGCGTTTCATTCTTAAGTTTCGTGATATTTCAACAATCCATTGATTCATGATAAGTGTAACTTATTGAACTCCATGATCAAAAATCAAATTTTCATAGTACAGTACCTCGATTTATAGACTTATGAGTTCGTGCAAAATTATATCGCGTAAGCGGGAGGTTTTCCTCTTTACAAACGACAAGGTTTTAGTTTTATATTACTTCTCTCAGTCCGTGACCCGGATTTCTTAAGTTCTTTGTTCTATTTATTTATTACTTATTTAAACACATAAATATTGGTACAAAAGGGCACCAGATAAATATGCGCCACACAAATCTCATTTGGTTTGCGTGAAGGCTGTGATATACTGCCCAGGTGCCCACACTGAAGCAGGTGATTTTCTTAAGGAGCCACACCCCGAGCCTTTGACCTAAAGTTCCGATCCGCAAGGCAGTGGAGCATCGTGAGAAGATGCAATCCCATGGTAGCCAGTGACCAACGACTGATTCATACGCCATTTGTTCTCCCAGGATACTGGAGCCCATGTGCACCATTGGTTTGGAATCAGGGTTTTCCAACTCCCCTAGGTGAACCCTCCATGTCCACCAACCCGGTTAAAGCGCCGGACTTTCGCTCTTCGTCCTCTCACTTTCGTAAACAACACCCTCGCCACGAGAAGGCAGTGAGTAGGACTTCCCTGGCAGAGGCTATATACTCGCGGCCATATGAGAGCATTTCGAGAGGAAGAGCGTACTCTCCCCAATCTCGGTCTGACCAGGGCATTTGGGGGGAAAACATTGTGATAGAGGTGGGGTTTGGTTAGTTTCCTGTGTGATCTTTCTTGATCATCACCGCCCTTATCTCTGTATATTTTCTTTTTCTGAAGAATCCTCGTGACCAAGACCACTTTTACACTATCGTAGGCCTATAATCTAGTCACATTCGCAAATAATATAAGCATCCGCAATAGTTCTAATTTACTAGAACAGAATACTTAGTTGCGCGTTATGTGTCTTCTAAACCATATCCCTTAATCCCTAGTATCTCAAATGGTCAATGCATGGCATTTTTCCGACATGGGTACACAAAATTCAAATATAGCCATGCATCGCGCGTAGTATTTAGCACATAAGTCCCGTAAGATTCACCACGTGGTTTGGGATTTAGCGGCGCATTCGTTTGAGTACATCCACCTGATTATTTATAAGGAATTCTTATTCTAAGTAGAGAACATGTTACAAAATTCCATCTAAAATTCGTATGTTCGCGTATAAAACTGTGAGATTAAATTCACTTTTTACCTTTCTACAAACCGATTCTTTCTCCCTGTATCATATACTTATATGCAGTCTTTTCCTATATATTACTACCATTGAAGTAACTGCTATGGATTTTGTGTTCATGAGGTATGGCAACTTGGGCCGATGCGTATGTGTTTGATCCTGCGTTGTAGATGACTGACTGACAAAAGAGCTTTCCACTCTAGAATTTGAGGTTACTGAAAGTTAGAGTTAGGGGCGGCCAAACCACTTTATTTCAGTGTCAGAGGCCTCAAAAAGCATATTTATTTATTCTTGATTGATATTTCAGTATCTTAAGTTTATACACTGCTAATATCATTCTTTTAGCGACGAATTTATTTCTCCTGCAGTTTTAGATATAACCGTTTTTCTGCCTTATAATGTTTTAATACTTTGGGATAATTTATGGTCAACTACTAGTATCAAGACTTTTCCTGCTAGATAGACCTCCTATTAATCAATAGTTCTAACTCTATCTTGTCTAATTGTTTTGTTTACAGCTTCTTATGGGTGTTTTTGCACGCGTAAACGCAGTCGCATTCTCTGAAGACATACCACTAAATGAAACAGCTTGGGCTGCTAGTGGCTATGCTCCTTTACATGTAGAGGAAGCTTATGTAATGGTGTCGAATAACTGTTTTATAGCTGCTGGGATCTACGTCGTTCTGCTAATTTTTTCAGGTGTTCAATACTATTTCAATAAACGAGCTAACTATTTAGCGCATTGAAGCTGACTATTCCATTCACATATGCATAATATTTACCTTTTTTTTTGTAAAATTCTTTCTAAATTAGAGTCACTGGTCTATGAGGCTTAGCCGATAAGTGGAGCCCTTAACATGTAATTCTTAACCAGTAAACTATTTGTTAAATCGTACTAATTATGTAGATTGCTATCGTACTCGTTGTGTGAAAGATTACTTACGATAACATCTTGTGTTTTGCTTTATATCTGTTTACGGAAGATAATTGTGTGTAAAAAAAACAAGTTCACTAATAGTACATAAATAAGGAGAGAGACAAGCATAGAATTGCAATATTATTTTAATATTTAAATCACGATTATTAACACATCTACATTTGGAGTACAGGCACAAAACAAAAACAAGATAGAAATAAAAGTAAAATGTTAATTCCATATTCAAGATATCACACAACAATAGTTAAATACATTATGGATTTTTGTGGGCAAATAAAATAGTAAAAGGTGAAAGCAACCAAAGTATAAGAGTACCCCGAGTTCTTGATCCACTCATTAGTGTATTTATGTAATATTTGTTTACCCATAAATAAATTAGTTGAGTTAGACTGAAATCACAAAATCAAGAGATGGCGCTCTTCGTCCGTCAATAGCAGTTATCATTATTGTCTTTACTCTCAATGTTCAGTTAATACACAATAGTCGAGTGAATAGAAATCATATCAGTAGTCTGAAATCATAACACTTTAAATCATTATCAATAGATAGTAAAGTTATTTAAGCAGGACAACAAATGTATAGATAATAAAAAAGCTTTATGATTTTTGTTTACGATATAAATAATCTGAAATCATTAAACGGGACAAAGAATTAAAAGCTGTAAAAAGTAGGCTCATGTATACATATTTATAGGTGTATATATATATAATAGGTAAATTGTAGGAATGATTAAGAGGATCTTCCAGTTTGTATGTTCTGCATCATCAACAACATGAAACAAGAACAACGAGTACATATCAAACCTGGTGTACAGAGAGATGAGGTAGCTGTATATCATTAAAGACTGAATGTATAATGTGTATAAAAAGAAAAGTGTAAGTTAGTAACTACAACCCTCATTCTGTCTGTAAGCGAAGAATTTAGAAAAATGTACAAATTTTGTCTTTTTGTAATTACTGAAAAGATCTCAAGAAGAAGATAAACGCTAAAACCACCCTTTTTATACTAGCACAAATAATCGCTAGTGCATATTTTGTTAAGCATGGTAGTTATCTGTTTTTATGTCATGTAAAACTACTTCAAATATTTGTTTTCAGCATAGAACTTAATAAGCATTAATCTTTTATACGGAATGGCGCTGAAAGCGAAAAGGCGCTTTATCTTCTCAGTCCTTTCGAATTTGATGCGGTTTGATAAGAAAGACGTTATAGGAGGGAAATTATTTCATCTATGATTAGATATTATGTATCCTAACTCTGATTCCTAGGTTGAGTCATTAGTCTCGTCGTCCACAAATGATTTACTGTTTGCTGGTTCTGTGTTTTGATTGTTTAGCTCGATGCTTGTGACTGTAATCTCACAAGAAGCTGATCTGCTTCGCGGAGATGTCTGGTCAGGGCGAAGTAACAACGAAGAGGGAAGATTATCAATTTTCTCCGTCATATTATTTTGGAGAGAATCTCCCATAAAATTAGTCACACTATCTTCCAAACCAGACCTCGAAGCTTGTTTGTTAGGAAGTTTGACGTGATTTAAACCGGGCTTGTAATCCAGAGAATTATCCGGCAAGCATGAATTCATTACTAATTGACTTTGAGTGAATAGGTCATTTGATTCTAGTAAGTATGGAAGGATCTGAGCAATCGATACAGAACCAAGCAGATCTGGCAGTAAAAAAAAAAGTTTGACAGTTTATTTTATAGTTACATAAACCAAAGCATACTTTAAAATGCTAGTCAGTATAAAGTACTTTTCAAAAAACAAAAAGTTCTACATACAAGTTCGATCATATCCACAAAGCGTGGAGTCACAAACCAGTTGGGCATCTTTTACTTTAAGTATGAAGCGATAGACCTATGTATTTCACTACACAGTGTGAGTGAAAATATAGGACTTAGCAGAAGTCAATTTAAATGAACTAATTTTGAAAGCTGCTGATAATTTCTAAGTTGTTTAAAGAGTTATAGCGCACCTCAATTTATAATAAGGGACCTACTATATATAAGTCATGTTATTCTTAAACAGCACTGAGTGAATTGTTATCTCGTCTAAATTCCTTCCATCTGTTGATAGATGTAAATTACAAACAACTACATGAAAACTGAGCATTACTATAGGAAAATAAGCATTGATCTAATAGAATACAAGCACAACTGGATAGCGACAAAATACATTTTCAAATCTAAATGCCACCACAAGGACATACATTGTATTCCGATGACCAATGTGAAATGATAAGTGGGTGGAATAAATAATTTATTAGGTTATCAATCCAGCAAAAAAATTCTAGCGATTAGTGCAAATGAAAGTAATCAAATCACTAGTCGAATTCGATCAAGACCTGTTACTGATCTGTCGTCATTTAGTGAAGGATGTTAACACTAAACAGAAGCATATATGAGCTGCTTAGTTACTGCCACGTGTCCACAATAACAATTAAGGTTTCCGGTCAGCTTACGGCAAATTTCGTTTACGAACTATTCAAATACTACGGCTCAAGGTATGGGAACTAGAATGGGTTGGATGTCTGCGCATATCAACACTACAACGTTTGTAGTAAACACGCTAATAGGCAAAATAGAACTTTCAGGATAACTTTATATTCCGTACAGTAGTGAAATTCGAAGATGAACAGCTCTGTCTTTATAGTAACAAGCAATGGTCTTTGGGCACTTGATAAAGTAAACTAAGGGCGATGATAATCAGGCAACAGTAAATGTTATAGCGGAAAAATAAACTAGAAAGATGTTATCAGGGCTACTCTTTAAAAAAACTAACACGTAATAACAAAAAACTAGTTAAGCTGGTCTCTACCCAAGAGTTACTTTGGTAATAATGTGGAGACTGTCATTGGTTAACAAACTACTAGCCAGGAGAGATTATTTTTAAAGAAAAATATATTCTTAGTCTTGTGGATTTTTAAGAAGAAAAAGAATTGAACTCACTTGAAAAAAATGCTTCTTCTAAATCTTTCGGATCTAAGTAGCGCAGTGTAGATAATAATTGTGTCAATATAAGAACTCTTTTAATAATAGGTTTTGTTCTTTTCGATGAAAGAGAACCAGTAGTTGTAGACGATGCTGCACGTGTAGACAAGAATTCAGAAAACTCGCTTAATACACGTGATTCCATTTCAGTAATTTGTTTAGCTAAACTGGCATCTCTTGCATTAATGCATAAACGACCTTGAATAATTAATAGTAAAATGAGAATGTATTAAAAGTTAAAGTTATACGATTTTTATAATTAACAAATTCATTATACATTCCTATTAATGAATAAGATTAGTGCAAAATGATCATGAACAAGTAAGTAAATATATATCCAATAAACTAATGCGTATGAAAGTAGAATAAAATCTAATCCTACACTGATCAAAACCTTTACAAACTAAGGTTATAATCAAGAAAGTCTATAAATGATATTGATAATCAATGGATATATATGAACTTAAAGAAAATAATTCCCAAAACTAATTAGTGTAGTCTTATATCAATATATGAATCAATAATTAATCAGTAATTAGTCCTCAACATTCAGCTCAATGGGAACTAATGTACGATTTCATGTAAAAAAACAACAGTTTCCTTTGAATTATTACTGAAGAAACAACACACTATTCTGCTTACGGTTTAACAACAGATATCATTTTAAATGAATATGACGTAATATATAACTAGCTCAACTCTATTTAATGGTAATAAAATATGTTGAAAATCAATGTAACATATTAAAATAAATATCATTTTACCTACCGGAGCTAAGTATAACCATGCATCTAAGATAAGTATATTCATGTGTGTCAACTTCAGCTCCTGAGAATTGTTTCATCAACTGTTCCACTAGTTCTATCACAGCCGAAGATGATGAACAATTTGTCTTTAAGTATGACGTATCCATTGGTTCTTTCATAGGTGAAATATGTGAAGATGATGATGAATCAAAACTATTGGATTTAAATGAACTAGTTGGTGTAATACTGCAATGAGAATTTGTTTGTTGTTCTCCTGAGATTTGTTTAACTGTCAATTGTAAAGTAGATTATTTAAGAATAATGTAAGTAAATAAAATGGACAGTTAAATTTTTGTAAAATCAGAAGTGTATGCCAATATGTAAGTATAATCAATACCATAAACGAAATAGAACCAATAAAAGAAAACTCAAGATATTCATTAATTTGATCTAAGTACAATTTGGATGTTCAGAGTAGTAGCAAAACATTTCCCCATAAAACAATAAAGTTGAAGCACATTAGGAAGAGAATAATTTCTGAAGTATCAATAAAGATTTATATCAAATAGTTTGAAATTACAACATGATCTAATCAGTTCAAATCTTTACTAATTAGTGGGTTAAATGATGAAAAATATCTAAAAGTTACTAGAGAGAATTCAATAAATCATCTAGACTTCGTGTGTGTTAACCTGTATAACGCTCCAAGACGTCTCAGAAGTAATAACCTTTAAGTTCACACTGAATTATCAGTAATTTATAATAGTTGCTAGTTAGATTTGTAGAAATTCCTTTACAATTTAAGACTATTAGCAACAATACAAACATAGACACAGCTGTAAAAAAGCTTGGAGTATTCTTTTTTTATTTATTTAAAACATAAGAGAATATACAAAATATGCTCTATACAACTTCATTGATAATAGAATGAAGAAAAAGTAGTAAAATAAATAAATGCATTAAGATAGTATTTGATTAGAGATACGATTCGGTTAAAAAATACAGCAAGCTCGGAAGGGCTAGGTTTTCGAAACACAGTAGGCTGTTCTCACCAACGCGTGAGCCCGACCTTCTAC